CTGGTGCTAGACTCCTAGTACTAGACTCCTGGTACTATACTCCTGGCGCTAGACTCCTGTTACTAGACTCCTGGTGCTAGACTCCTAGTGCTAGACTCCTGGTACTAGACTCGTGTTACTAGACTCCTGGTACTATACTCCTAGTACTAGACTCCTGGTACTATACTCCTGGCGCTAGACTCCTGTTACTAGACTCCTGGTGCTAGACTCCTAGTGCTATACTCCTGGTACTATACTCCTAGTACTAGACTCCTGGTGCTAGACTCCTGGTGTTAGACTCCAGTTACTAGACTCCTGGTACTAGACTCCTAGTGCTAGACTCCTGATGCTAGACTCCTAGTGCTAGACTCCTGGTGCTAGACTCCTGGTACTAGACTCCTGGTACTAGACTCCTGGAACTAGACTCCTGGTGCTAGACTCCTGTTACTAGACTCCTGGTACTAGACTCCTGGTACTAGACTCCACTAGGATGGGTTAAAATCAGAGGGCTAAAGTCACTGTGTCCTGTTCAGAGGAGCTGGAGAGAAAATAAAAATTCTTGCTATAAATATACAGGTAGCCATTAATTACTAACCCTAGACCAACTTAAACCTCCAGTCAGAAACGCACAAAGAAGAAGACGATGATGTCATGTTATGAGATTGAAGCTAAAGCTAACAGGTACAATAGTTGCAGATGTACGAGGTGTGGACCCAAAGCACAGAAAGAGTCTTTACTTAAGGTTTTGATACAAGATACAAAATACTGTGTTTCTCAAGCTAACCTAATAGTAACTAGAAAAATACTCAATAACTACCTGATCTAACTAAAACTATGAACATGGACTATGACTGTAACTTTAACTTGACGATGATTTATGAAAACGCTGGAGAGCTCGGCATGAAACACAAGAGGCAACGAGACAGTGAATGACTTATTATATGTATTTATATATTTATACTGACATCACCGGGTGCTAACAATAATCACGTGACCAAGAATCACAGATGAAATGAAGTTTAATAAAAAGTGTTTTTGATTCTCTCGTCAGCGTTTTGCAGCGTTGCGCGTCACGGCTTCAGCGAACTGCTCGCAGTGGAGCTGTCCGTCAGATCCAAGTCCCGCCTCCTGCAGCAGCTCGTCCACTGACAACACACACACACACACAGCTGCCAATCAAACCTCAGGTATGAGAAGAAGGTGTTAATTCACATGTTTTACCAGAGAGAGTGAGAAACATTTTCCTCTCTCATCATCGTTACTCATTTGTGAAGTTTGGAGAGTTTCTCTAATCTCACTGAGCAGAATCTAATCAGCAGAGAGGAAACACCTGCACAGCTTCACACACACACACACACACACACACACACACACACACACACACACACACACACACACACACACAATCTGTATCTACAGCTGGAAACACACTGACATATGTTCACCTCATTGGCAGATTTCTCACTTGCCTCCAACATAAAACACAAGAACATAAAAACGCTGTTGGGATATTTGTACGAACTAGACATTTACATTTTTTCTTTTTATTCAGTAATGAAAATCCCAAATTGAAAGCCTAATTGTTAATAGGCTAGTTTGATGGATGTGTGTCACGGCGGTAAATGTCACGGGCGAGGAAGTTTCAAAGCTCCTTTCCTATCATCTAGACTCTGGAGAATCAATCAGCTCTTATCACTGAGGGACTTCCAGGTCATTTCACGTGTGTGTGTGTGTGTGTGTGTGTGTGTGTGTGTGTGTGTGTGTGTGTGTGTGTGTGTGTGTGTGTGTGTGTGTGGTGTGTGTGTGTTGTGTGTGTGTGTGTTGTGTGTGTGTGTGTGTGTGTGTGTGTGTGTGTGTGTGTGTGTGTTGTGTGTGTGTGTGTGTGTGTGTTGTGTGTGTGTGTGTGTGTGTGTGTGTGTGTGTGTGTGTGGCTGTGTGTGTGTGTGTGTGTGTGTGTGTGTGTGCGTGCATGCGTGTTCCTCACCCTCTTTGTGTGTGAGTCTCTCCCCCTGCCCTGTGAGTCTCCCCCTCAGCAGGGAGACCTCCATGAAGCCCCTCCTCCCCCCCTCACTCCTCCTCAGAGCCTCCAGGATCTCTCTCTGCGGCGCCTCCTGCTGCTGCTGACGGTGCATCACGCTGAGGAGGGACGAGAAGTCCAGATCTCCAGCTGCGTCTGAGAGGGAAGACATCTGGATATTATTACTGCGCTCAGGACATTACAGGAAGAATGGAAAATAATTGAGGTGAAACCAAGCCCCCAGGAAGTGCTCCGGACTCTGAGGAAAATATTCGTAGTGGCCAAACGGTGGTACTACAACTTCCGTATCAGTCCGTGACGTCACTGGGCCCAGAAATACTTTTCCCATTGACTAACATGGGGAAAGTGACGTCTGTAAATCAGCGGATCATTTAAAAAAAGAAACTACCCAGTATGAACTATTTTATAGCCCTTATTAGAATAACTAGCCGCTTTTACACCAAGTACTTTGCCGTACCTAGTACCCAGCACTTAGTACTGCCATGGAACTAAGTACAGATCGCGTTCACACCGGAATAAGTTCCCTGAGGGAAGATTACGCAAATGAAGCCGCTGACGTCACTTCTTCTTCTTCTGCTTTGGGTTTACTGGCAGGCCACAAACAACTTCACGGCGTATACTGCCACCCGGAGTCCCCGGCCGGAAGTCCCCGGAGTTGGGGACTGGCTTCAGTAGAAGCTGCTGGGACTCCCAGCAGCTTCTACTGAAGCCTTCCGACGAAATCACCAGAACGCCGACACCTTCGTGTCGCTCTCTCAAAAGTTGGGCCATTTTGCCTTCATGCGCCGATGAGCAGCTCTCATAGGAGAGAAGGAGACCCCGCCTCCCACGCTGTATCCAGTTCTTATTATACATCCATGGGTTAAAGGAGCAGCAAGGTCATATCCCGAGGAGTCCAGATCTCCTCCTGCATCTGAGAGGGACGTACTGTATATCTACATCAGGGTTTCTCAAACTGTTTCAGACCAAGGACCACTTTGTGATGGAAGCTCCACACTTAATCACCTTCTGGTTAGAAAAGAAGAAATATACAAGCTTAAACCAAAGTTGTGTTATTAAATAAAGAGTTTAAAGCATTCAACAGAATCAATCTCTTTCCAGCTGGAAGCACAGATAACCTGCACCAATGTGTGCGAAAGAAATCTGACCCCGTTACAACAGAAAAACACCAGTTAGTAGTAGCATCACGCTGAGGAGGGGCGAGCAGTCCAGATCTCCAGCTGCGTCAGAGAGGGGAAGATATCCAGATATTATTACTGCACTTGTTGGGGAATAATTGCTGCTAGCTCTCTCAAGGAGCTTGGGATCATTGTTGATGCCACTTTATGAGCACAAGCTGCCATGAGGTCGTTTATTATTCAGAGACTTCGAGAGGCCCTTCTTTTCTGGAACGTAGCAGGTTCCCTGGCGCACACTCTTTTCTATGGACGACAGCTGTAGTTAGATTCAGGGTCCATGTTTGTTTAGTCTCGCTGATGAAGAATGTTGATTATGACTTTCAAGGTTCAAGGCTTTTATTGGTCCTATGTGCATAGTTACAGTGTAGGTTCCAACTCTGCCCGCGTCTCTCTGAGTTTCGTCTCCAGCGCTCCAGAAGTTTCCATCACAGCACTCAGGACATGACAGGAAACATGGAAAGGATTTGAGGTGAAAGGATACGAGGACGCTGCGTCAGTGAGAGGAAATCTAATGAGTTGTTCAAACAGCAGTAAAGAGAGATAACACGGAGACAGTTTAAACACACCTCATCAACTGAGAGCTGATTACAAACAGGTGTACCTGTGGTGGGGGGGGGGGGGGGGGTTATTGGAGTACAAATACTGCGTTTCTGGTATCAGTACTTTACTCCTTATTTTTCTGACGACTTTTAACTTTGACTTCTTACATGTTGAACACAAATACCTGTACTTTCTACTTCTTACATGTTGAACACAAATACCTGTACTTTCTACTTCTTACATGTTGAACACAAATACCTGTACTTTCTACTTCTTACATGTTGAACTCAAATACCTGTACTTTCTACTTCTTACATGTTGAACCCAAATACCTGTACTTTCTACTTCTTACATGTTGAACCCAAATACCTGTACTTTCTACTTCTTACATGTTGAACCCAAATACCTGTACTTTCTACTTCTTACATGTTGAACACAAATACCTGTACTTTCTACTTCTTACATATTGAACACAAATACCTGTACTTTCTACTTCTTACATGTTGAACACAAATACTTGTACTTTCTACTTCTTACATATTGAACACAAATACCTGTACTTTCTACTTCTTACATGTTGAACACAAATACCTGTACTTTCTACTTCTTACATGTTGAACACAAATACCTGTACTTTCTACTTCTTACATGTTGAACACAAATACCTGTACTTTCTACTTCTTACATATTGAACACAAATACTTGTACTTTCTACTTCTTACATATTGAACACAAATACCTGTACTTTCTACTTCTTACATATTGAACACAAATACCTGTACTTTCTACTTCTTACATGTTGAACTCAAATACCTGTACTTTCTACTTCTTACATGTTGAACCCAAATACCTGTACTTTCTACTTCTTACATATTGAACACAAATACTTGTACTTTCTACTTCTTACATATTGAACACAAATACCTGTACTTTCTACTTCTTACATGTTGAACCCAAATACCTGTACTTTCTACTTCTTACATGTTGAACACAAATACCTGTACTTTCTACTTCTTACATGTTGAACACAAATACCTGTACTTTCTACTTCTTACATGTTGAACCCAAATACCTGTACTTTCTACTTCTTACATGTTGAACCCAAATACCTGTACTTTCTACTTCTTACATGTTGAACCCAAATACCTGTACTTTCTACTTCTTACATGTTGAACACAAATACCTGTACTTTCTACTTCTTACATATTGAACACAAATACCTGTACTTTCTACTTCTTACATGTTGAACACAAATACCTGTACTTTCTACTTCTTACATATTGAACACAAATACTTGTACTTTCTACTTCTTACATATTGAACACAAATACCTGTACTTTCTACTTCTTACATGTTGAACACAAATACCTGTACTTTCTACTTCTTACATGTTGAACACAAATACCTGTACTTTCTACTTCTTACATGTTGAACACAAATACCTGTACTTTCTACTTCTTACATATTGAACACAAATACTTGTACTTTCTACTTCTTACATATTGAACACAAATACCTGTACTTTCTACTTCTTACATGTTGAACACAAATACCTGTACTTTCTACTTCTTACATATTGAACACAAATACTTGTACTTTCTACTTCTTACATATTGAACACAAATACCTGTACTTTCTACTTCTTACATGTTGAACCCAAATACCTGTACTTTCTACTTCTTACATGTTGAACCCAAATACCTGTACTTTCTACTTCTTACATGTTGAACCCAAATACCTGTACTTTCTACTTCTTACATGTTGAACCCAAATACCTGTACTTTCTACTTCTTACATATTGAACACAAATACTTGTACTTTCTACTTCTTACATATTGAACACAAATACCTGTACTTTCTACTTCTTACATATTGAACACAAATACCTGTACTTTCTACTTCTTACATGTTGAACTCAAATACCTGTACTTTCTACTTCTTACATGTTGAACCCAAATACCTGTACTTTCTACTTCTTACATATTGAACACAAATACTTGTACTTTCTACTTCTTACATATTGAACACAAATACCTGTACTTTCTACTTCTTACATGTTGAACCCAAATACCTGTACTTTCTACTTCTTACATGTTGAACACAAATACCTGTACTTTCTACTTCTTACATATTGAACACAAATACCTGTACTTTCTACTTCTTACATGTTGAACCCAAATACCTGTACTTTCTACTTCTTACATGTTGAACACAAACACCTGTACTTTCTACTTCTTACATATTGAACACAAATACCTGTACTTTCTACTTCTCACATGTTGAACACAAACACCTGTACTTTCTACTTCTCACATGTTGAACACAAATACCTGTACTTTCTACTTCTTACATATTGAACATAAATACCTGTACTTTCTACTTCTTACATGTTGAACCCAAATACCTGTACTTTCTACTTCTTACATATTGAACACAAATACTTGTACTTTCTACTTCTTACATATTGAACACAAATACCTGTACTTTCTACTTCTTACATGTTGAACCCAAATACCTGTACTTTCTACTTCTTACATGTTGAACACAAATACCTGTACTTTCTACTTCTTACATATTGAACACAAATACCTGTACTTTCTACTTCTTACATGTTGAACCCAAATACCTGTACTTTCTACTTCTTACATGTTGAACACAAACACCTGTACTTTCTACTTCTTACATATTGAACACAAATACCTGTACTTTCTACTTCTCACATGTTGAACACAAACACCTGTACTTTCTACTTCTCACATATTGAACACAAATACCTGTACTTTCTACTTCTTACATGTTGAACCCAAATACCTGTACTTTCTACTTCTTACATGTTGAACCCAAATACCTGTACTTTCTACTTCTCACATGTTGAACACAAATACCTGTACTTTCTACTTCTTACATGTTGAACACAAACACCTGTACTTTCTACTTCTTACATGTTGAACACAAATACCTGTACTTTCTACTTCTTACATGTTGAACACAAATACCTGTACTTTCTACTTCTTACATGTTGAACACAAATACCTGTACTTTCTACTTCTTACATGTAGAACCCAAATACCTGTACTTTCTACTTCTTACATGTTGAACCCAAATACCTGTACTTTCTACTTCTTACATGTTGAACACAAATACCTGTACTTTCTACTTCTTACATGTTGAACACAAATACCTGTACTTTCTACTTCTTACATGTTGAACTCAAATACCTGTACTTTCTACTTCTTCCATGTTGAACACAAATACCTGTACTTTCTACTTCTTACATGTTGAACCCAAATACCTGTACTTTCTACTTCTTCCATGTTGAACTCAAATACCTGTACTTTCTACTTCTTACATGTTGAACACAAATACCTGTACTTTCTACTTCTTACATGTTGAACACAAATACCTGTACTTTCTACTTCTTACATGTTGAACACAAATACCTGTACTTTCTACTTCTTACATGTTGAACACAAATACCTGTACTTTCTACTTCTTACATGTTGAACACAAATACCTGTACTTTCTACTTCTTACATGTTGAACACAAATACCTGTACTTTCTACTTCTTACATGTTGAACCCAAATACCTGTACTTTCTACTTCTTACTTGTTGAACACAAATACCTGTACTTTCTACTTCTTACATGTTGAACCCAAATACCTGTACTTTCTACTTCTCACATGTTGAACCCAAATACCTGTACTTTCTACTTCTTACATGTTGAACCCAAATACCTGTACTTTCTACTTCTCACATGTTGAACACAAATACCTGTACTTTCTACTTCTTACATGTTGAACTCAAATACCTGTACTTTCTACTTCTTACATGTTGAACACAAATACCTGTACTTTCTACTTCTTACATGTTGAACCCAAATACCTGTACTTTCTACTTCTCTCATTTCCCAAACAGGCTGGTTCCTTTAGTTTGAATGTGTGTCTGGTGGCGTGATCATTATTATTTAGAGTCATTGCGTGCCTATTGATTTGAACACGATCCGTGTATCCATCATTTCCTGGTCTTCTCTAAAGAAGAGGGACCAATGAAAACGTTGTCATGTTGCCGTTGTTCAGCATGGAAACATTCATTAGCTAACAATGACATTATTGTTCTATTAATATAAAGGGAGGTCAGGTACTCTTTAAAACAGCTGCTAGTTATGGGTACTTTTTACTGAAGTACATTTCAAAGCCTCTTTACTTTGACTTGAGTAAAGAAGTTTAGTCAGTACTTCTACTTTCACCAGAGTACTTTTAAACACGAGTATCTGTACTTCTACTTGAGTAAAGGATGTTGGTACTTTTGCCATCTCTGTTCCTGGGGGCGGGGCTTATGTGTTCCTCACCTGAGTGGGTCAGCAGGTGTCTCCTAACCTCAGCGGGGGTGGGGCTCGACCCGAGGCATCGCATCACTGTGATCAGATCCCCCCCCTCAATCCTGCCCCGCCGCTGACGGTCGTACAGAGAGAAACACTCCTTATAGTCTGCAACACACACACACACACACACACACACACACACACACACACACACACACACACACACACACACACACACACACACAGGCTGGGGTAATCTCCCTGTTTTCTGACATTTAACAAACTAAATGATGAATATATATTTGTTAAAAACAATCAAGGAGATGAAATGAGTCTTTAATTACCAACAAACTCTTACATAAACCAGCGAGTAATAAAACATTCCAACGTGTTAGACCGCTCTGAACACAATGACTGCTCTGTCCTCATTAGGGTCTGTTGTCTTTACTCTCATCCACAGATCACCACAGAGGCTCTTTGTTAGAAACTCAATGCATATCTGCTCTGTGTGCGGATCACATGTAACCACACGACATCGTCAGGATACAAGTCACTTTATTCATTTACAATTACCTTAAAAGACAAGTCATCAGATTACTGTTAACAACATAGAGATTACTCGCAGGGTGACAGGGTTAGATGGATATATAACAGTTAGACCGCCTGAATGTCTTCCCTGTTGCTCTGAAAGCCTCAGAAAGGTTAGTTTTACCCCCCCCCCCCCCCCCCCCCCACGCTGGTGACTAACTGCTGAGTCTCACCGTTAATCTGCTCCTGAGTCAGGAACTTGGCCTGCGATGAAAACAGAGAAACATCGTGAGAGAAAAAACAGAACGAAGGAGAACGTAGGTAGAAAATCTGTAATCCTCTCACCATGGTGCTGCAGCGTGTGTGTGTGTGTGTGTGTGTGTGTGTGTGTGTGTGTGTGTGTGTGTGTGTGTGTGTGTGGTGTGTGTGTGTGTGTGTGTGTGTGTGTGTTGTGTGTGTGTGTGTGTGTGTGTGTGTGTGTGTGTGTGTGTGTGTGTGTGTGTGTGTGTGTGTGTGTGTGTGTGTGTGTGTGTGTGTGTGTGTGTGTGTGTGTGTGTGTGTGTGTGTGTGTGTGTGTGATCTCTGGCTGCAGGAAACTGATCCCGGCTGCTGTAAGATGAGGATCGTAATGGAAGAGGATGGAGGAAACTGTGTAACATAATACATGCAATACACATAATACTTAGAGTACACATAGTACACATAATACTTAGAGTACACATAGTACACATAATACTTAGAGTACACATAGTACACATAATACTTAGTGTACACATAGTACACATAATACTTAGAGTACACATAGTACACATAATACTTAGAGTACACATAGTACACATAATACTTAGAGTACACATAGTACACATAATACATAGAGTACACATAGTACACATAATACTTAGAGTACACATAGTACACATAATACTTAGAGTACACATAGTACACATAATACTTAGAGTACACATAGTACACATAATACTTAAGAGTACACATAGTACACATAATACTTAGAGTACACATAGTACACATAATACTTAGAGTACACATAGTACACATAATACTTAGAGTTCACATAGTACACATAATACTTAGAGTACACATAGTACACATAATACTTAGAGTTCACATAGTACACATAATACTTAGAGTACACATAGTACACATCATACTTAGAGTACACATAATACATAGAGTACACATAGCACACATAATACTTAAGAGTACACATAGTACACGTTAATACTTAGAGTACACATAGTACACATAATAATTAGAGTTCACATAGTACACATAATAATTAGAGTTCACATAGTACACATAATAATTAGAGTACACATAGTACACATAATAATTAGAGTTCACATAGTACACATAATACTTAAGAGTACACATAGTACACATAATACTTAAGAGT